GCCCTTTTTACAACCGGCTGCTGCATCATTGTTTGGAGTTTTATTGCGCAAAGAGTGTGCGTTTTGTATTTCATTAATTGCCTCCGCATTGGATTTCACTGCTGGTGGAACGAATCAGATCGAAATCGAGTGTTTTTCTTTTCACTGCTCTATGCGAGTGTGTGGGAGGAACCTAAATTTTGTTCGAATGCACGACCGCCACGCAAAACCGGTCCATCTCGCTGATAATCGCGTTTAGCCAAAATTGGGTCACCCTATTTACAACTTGATCAAAGTTGCACGAGTCGCGCGCGGCCGAGTTGTTACTTTTTTACAATTTTGTTGTACATGTCGTCGCGGATTGCTCCAGCGGCGGGAAACAAGGCCATTGCATCACTATTTGTAGTTTTGCCTTTCTCTAGCTCGGAATGGAATCAACGATCATTTCGGGACGCGGACGAATTGCAAGATGCGTAACAAAAGCTGCACGAATGTCGATTTCGGATTGACACTCCGTGTTTAGAAAGGAGAGAAGCGATGCATTCTTCTACATCGGTTTAAGAATAAATTCCATTCAGATCAGTCGAGGAGAAATTGATGCTCTCTGCATTCGAGGCAGAAATTTCTTTTCTTTTTAAAGTCGATCAAATGAATAAATCTAAATAGGTTTATGGACTGAAATATCGAACAAAATTTAAGGGGAATAAACAATTTTCCAAAAAATTTAAATTTAAATGATTTTATTATTTTTATTGCTGTAGTTTATTTGTCCACACTGATACAAATACATATTTACTTTCAATTGATGGAACAATATTATTTGAAAAAAGGATTATTTGAAAAAACGACACCACCACTAGCAAGAATTTTGCTAAAACTTCCGAGATCAAAAAGACCCCATCCGCTGCAATGAGTCTCATTTGACTAAGTTTTTGTTCTTCTCACTTATAAAAATTTGTTCCCTTGCAGAGGGCGGTAAACTGTACGTTCCACTGGGCAGGTTTTCAGGGCGTCCAGAAGGTTAATTTTAAAGTGTTACAGAAACAACCATTTTTTATTGTACGAAAAGTCAAATTTCCAAACTGGATTACATATTGAGTATCTAAAAATGACAAGTTTCTTTTTTCAATTAAAACTGATACACTCTTTGGTCGGCTGTGTAAAGTGAAAAGCCATGTTTTCGCCAGCATCTTAAGAGCCTTTGCGGTTTTCAAGAGATTGACACCTCAACTCTGCGGCTCGACATTATTTTTTGTTTCGCCATGAGCAGCGCATCTGGTTTTACAAGAATCTGGAGAGCGACACATGCAACAAGTCTCAAATGCAGCGGCGGAAGAGACGAGAGGAACAAGACCATTAAGGAGCGAACGGTTTTGTTGCCGCGACGCAAGTGCAGCTTGATAAATAGTGAAGAGGCAAACAGTTCATAATGTATATGGCACTGAGAGCGACTTTTTGAAGAAAGTAACGGAGCCCGCGGGCACGGCTGCACAATTTCAATAATATTATGCACCTGCGCAAACACAGACGTTTCGATTCTTGCTCAATTTGAAACACAATTAGTACATCAAGTCGTCGAGTGCAAAGGAAAGAGATAATTAATTCTCAAAGAATTCTTCATTTCTGCGGCTTCGTTTCATTTCATGTGAATAAAACAACGGGACAGAGAAACTACTGCAAAGATAATGACGAAAACACGAAAATTTGTGTTTTTCTTGTCTTCACTCTCAGGACAATAAAAATTAAATTTCTGTTGCCTCCGGTGAAAATGCCAGTTTTTATTTCGTCTTCTCTCCATCCAATAAAGTAATTTAAATTTATATTTCATTAAAAAAAAATGCTGCTTCGGAGAGGTGCAGCTCGGCGAAAGGTGACTCGAGAGGGCAATCGAAACACACTCACGCAAATTCGACGCGTACCCTCAAAACTTTCACTGCGCTTTTCAATTATCGAAAATTATTGGAACACTGCCGGTGGCGAAATGAGGAGTCGCGTGATCCATCCTAAAAAATGTGATGAAAATTCACTTTTATTTATTTAAATTAAAGAAATCTGAAAAGACAGAAAACTTTTTCACTTTTTGGGGTAAAATTGAAAAAATGTGGTAAATTTTGATTCTTGAATTAAAGTGCTGACAAAATTTTCTTGCAGCGCCTTATCATTTTCCATTCGTCGCACCTGAGGCTTGCCTGGTGTTTTACTGCAATCAGACGCACGCATGGAGCAGGATGCATTAACGTGCCCAAAAGGCGGTGGAGCGTGAAAAAAAGAAACATCTGAATAATATCAGTGGGGATCACTGCTCTGGCTAATGACCAAAGTGACTAATGAATATCCTTTCAAAAGCCCTACACACGCCCTGACTTTTGAGAAGATTCACCCTGATGCTGACGACTCAGGTGGGCCCTCTCTCGGAATAATCAAAAGGGATGACGCGCCGCATTATTTATTTGGTAAAGGGGCGGTGGTGCAGAGGAGATTTCGGAGCTCGTAAAAAAACCTAAACGCCTCTTCTAAGTGTTTGCCCGAGCATCAGGAGCATCTAGCAGCGGCTAGAGACAAAGCAAGGCCCAAATTCACTTTTCATGTCGCAGCGAACTTCTCCTCAATTTTATGGCACCGCAGGTGCTGCCTTTCCGTCCCAGCTGATTTATATGTACGCGTGAAATTCAGGTAACAAGGAGGACTTTTGCGGCAAGAGCAATAAATTTCTCGTCAAAAGTCTTCTTTGAAAAATTTGTCTGCACGAAGAAGAAGAAGAATTCGAGGAGAGGCATTATTAAAAAAGTTGCAACCGCTGCGACGCAGGACAAAAAGAAGGAAGTGTGGAGAATCGCGAGAAAGACGACAAAGAAAAGAAAGACTGCCTGGGAACATTTAAAAAGTCAAACAGATGACGCAGCTGTAAAAATGTCTTGGACCTCGAAAGATCTGTGATAAAAGCAGCAGCAATATCAACAATTGCATTGCTTAACATTTAATTTTAAATTCTTCTTTTTTTTTAAATTTTTTACTTAAAAACTGCAGCTTTATATTTCTAAAGATATGAAGTTAAAATTAACCAAGTTTTATTTTCAAATAATTTGATTTTATACTAGTTTTATTTCTCCTTTCTTAATTCATCATCAAATTTTATAATTTCCTTTTGCATTGTGTACCTTTCTTTGCTTTCCATGCATTCATGTGATGCTTAAATGCATGAGGTGAACGTCTCGATCACTACGAAAGAGAAATCAGTTCAAACAGAGTTTCAAATTTCAATAACCTCTGATCCGAAACGAAGATAAAAAGCTCAGACTGATTGTGTCGAACACCATCACTTCGTGACAGCGTCGCTTCCCGGTTTGATTATAAAGGATTTTTCAAAACTGTACACGTTGCTTTTCAAAAGATAACACCAGCATCTTTGTTTATTATTTGTTTGTTTGACAAGCCACCATAGTATTATCGATTGCATGTTTACCCGGCGCCTGTGTGGCTGATTATTGCAAAAGTGCATTAATAATTTATTGGCAGAGTCAGCCGTAAAAGCGAATATTAGTTTTCATGCGCGCAGAGTAAAAGTAGGTCTTTGTCACTACTTTTAAAACTCAAACTTCGCCCTCGGCCTGACACTTTAATTGTTTACTCGCGTGCAATAATCACTTTCTCCGCCCAATAAGAGTTGAAAAGGCCATTAGTCAAATGCGCTGCTTTTCCCAAGATTAAAAATTCATGCGCCGAATTTATGTAAGAGTCATGACTCACGATTATCCTTCGCTCGAAAACGAGAGCCCTGTTCATGCACTTGGCATTATATTTCTTTGTCGAAAATTTATTGCTCCCACGAAAGATCATTATTAAATTTCTCATTGCAAAATGCAAATTTTGTGTGCATTGATTTCTGCTGTTGGAATTAAAATTTTAAATTTCCCAGCAGTTCAGGGTCGACACGCGAGTAGAATTTTCACGCTCGCCAAAGGTGTGAACTTCTCAAATGACTGCTGTGACGTCAAAAGACGCCTTTTATAAATTAGGGCTTACATTTCTCAGAAACAGAAACCACAAGTTCTGAATAAGATCTCTTCGATTTCTTATATTTTTTTTTTATCAACAACAACAACCCAATAAATTAATTACAAGTTTTGGAAATATTTAAACACTGCATTACATACAGATAAGAGTAATGTGAAATTATTATTGCTATACTGCTCCGAGATTAAACTCCACTGCACTCAAATTTAGCACCACTGAGGCCGCGAGGGATATAAAACTGTGTATTATTTTTTGATAAAGCAACTTTATTGACAGAAATATACGAGGAGAGAACTTGCTGACATTTCCCTCGGCTCGGCCTCTCTATTGAAATTTTTGCAAGAGCCGATTTTGCTGTATATTCCAAGGTGAAGGGAAAGTAAAAAGTTGCGTATGTCCATCGTGCGGACGAAATGAGAGAGACCATCCGCTAACGGGAGCCCAACGACTTTTTATTATTTGCTCCAATCAGCACGGGACGAATGAGTTGGCTGGAAATGAGCCGTTTTGCGTGAGGACCACTTTATCATTGACGCCTGAATACTCTGTTTAGGGCCCACTTAAACGAATTCCTTTCATTACTTTTGCTCATAAAACTGAAGAGGTTTTAATTTTTAAAATCATTTTGCATCCAAATAATTTCCTTGGACACTAAAAAGTAAAATAAGAAGTCAAATATGAGAAGAAATTTTAAAGTAAAAATTGTGTTATTTTTGCATAATTTTCTCAAAAGATATGAAATTTTTCAATCCCCTTTTTCTTTATAATTTATAACGACTGAAAACTTTTAAAAACAAAATCAAGAACAGTTGAAATTGTAAATGAATAGTGTGATTTTTAAATTAAAATCTATTTTGCATTATTTTAATGTATCTGAATGGATAGTAAGAAAGGTACAGTGTTTGATTTTTTTTTTTAACATTTACATTTTTCAATACAATTTTCTCCTCTTTAGAATGAAAAATATCAAAATCTGCAACGGACCTTGCCAAAATTTTGGTTTTTACCTTTTGGAAGTGGGGCAAAAGGTGAGAATGACGTCCTGCAACTGCTTGGCGAAGCCACTGAGCAGCCCTCCGACCTTCTCGGGCACCAACACGAGCCCCGGACGCAGTTCCTCCCACATGATGTGTTCGCGGTGGTGGTGGGCGCCACCCCCGAAATTGTAACTGGCACTCTCGATAATTCGCACCATTTACATGTTCACCTGTTGCACTGGCAGAGAAAAACAACTGACGCGGCCGCTGCTGGTGTAGTGAGCAGCCCGACCAGCACAACCTTCATCTCCAATGACTGAACCACGAATGAAGAAGGAAAGAAACCGCCGCCGCCGCGGCAGCGAACGAGCGAGCGAGCTCAACGGTTCCAACGACCTGAGCGCCGCTATGCTCTGCCCGCTCGGAAACCAAACTCGGCGCCGCGAAACACCACAAGCATGGCACGCAACCGACAAACGAGCGACCTGGCTGAGAGCAGGTGGAAAAACTGCCAGAGCATGCATCCTGCGCGCTTCGTTCATTCCCTTCTGACTCATCCGCAAAAATGTTGGGGAAAAATGCAATTTTCATCTCTGGCTTTCATATCAATTGTTCAGAAATTAATTTTTTTTATAGCAATTAATTTTCATCCAAAGCCAGAAGATTTTGTATAAAAATGGTACTAAGTTTTTTTTAAATTAGTAATTTCTAGAGTCAAAGCGGATTTTTATTTTGAAAAAATTACTTAATTATTTTTTTTTACAAAAATTATACTTAACAACGAGTTAGGAAGTTTTGAAAAATTCTTACTTCTGAAATATTTTAATCAGAAAATTGTTTCCAAACAAATAAATTCCTTTTGAGAGGATTTTCCTTATATATTTTACTAAACTTCATTCAGCTGGGTGAATATTCTTTTCGCATTTTATAGACATTCGTGTCTCATTGGAGATTTAAAATTAGCTGCAACTGGTCTGAAATTCAATTCAATATTTCGCCCTCGCAGGCCGATCGACCTCTTTTTAGATTCATTCGCACAATTGAACTTTCGGGTCGAGCAAATCTTCTTTGCTGGTTTTTAATTTAATTCGGTGTGTTGCAGCAGGTGCGCGCGGAGAATGGGACGAGCGAGTGCACATTTGGAGAAGTTTTGAATCAACTCTCGTTGTTGCATGATTGATCGAGAGCGCATTAATAGAGCAAGTAATGATCGTTTACAAACGAGGCGAAAATAATAATAAACTGTGCGAGCGGGGAGACCTTTAAAGAGGAGAGATCGAGAGCACGCATTGTTCGTTGTTGGGGAGAAAGAAAAAAAAATTTGATTGATGACGCTGCAAAGCAATCAATTTATTATTATTTCGTCGCCGCGAATTAGGCAACTTTCTTTCTTTGTTTCCGTCGATCGGGCCCTGTAGAAGAAAACAACTAACTTTTTAACTTTTGTCGCAATCGACAAGCCATTCATCACAGGTGGAGCGGAAAATTGATAAAGGCACGCATAAATTTTCAACAGTGAAACTCTCTTTCTTCGAATTTTGTTCTGTTAAATATGCCGGGCGCAGCAAAGGTCGATTTTGTGACGCACCTTGATTGAAAAAAATTGCTATTCAAGTACACACGAACTAAGATTGAATCTTGGCAGTCGGTCAAAATAAAACTTTAATATTCTCGGGCGGTACTTGGAGAATTGCAAACGAACGGTGAGCACGTTCGGTGCGAGCTTTATTGCGCTCGGCCAGCCTGGCCGCAGCCAACGGCCGTAAACTTTGTGCAAAAGTTTCGTGCACACGCCGAAATGAATTTTGTGCCGGCGGATGTCGTTTTGAAAAGGTCAAAAGGTCGAGGCAAGTGCTGCCGACGGCGGCTAAATGTAATAATAGAGAACTTTTTATTTATGCAGTGCTTGTGGATTTTGAGGAATGTGCAATAAAGGAGGATCATAAATATTGGTTTTTTCATTTAATTTCACTCTTCCTTTAAAAAAAGTGGGATTATTTTATTCGGAAAATTAATTTTAGTAAAAAAGGGAAAATTCAAAATCTAAATAAAACGGAAAAGCAGCACTTTAATCAAGCATAAAGTAAATGCTTTATGTGCTTCATTTATTCAATTTGGTGCAATCCCATTGTTAAAAATTAAATTTTTTTCAAACAATTCGTTTCACCAAGTAAATGAAGTTTTGGAATAAACAACAAAAACTTGCAAAAAATTTTTTAAACAAAATTTATATCATTTATATTATGCATTCTTTTTTATCTCTCTTCTCAAATTTTGTAATTTTTATTTATAACTTTTGAATACTTGGATGATGTATCACATTATAGGCATTGCCTTGATGTATATCAATTAACTTAATTTGCAAGTAACAACACTAATAAAAATTAAAGATATTTGTAATGCTATTTTTTATAAATGCACTAACTTGGAATTAATTTGATTTATGTTTAGCATAATATGGCAATGGGGAGTTTCGTTTTATATTTGAGATTTCTGGGGATTTGATGAGAAATTTTTTAATTTAATTTATATAATTTTCGTTATTTATTTACTTAGAAATCATACCACGCTGGCCTTTTAACCCATGCGGATTGAGAGAGCAAGAGTCATTTTGTCTCCCGGAACTTTCAAGCCGCGTGAAAAACCCAATCAGTGTTTCCACCAGAGCTTTCCTTGTTTTTCTTATCAGTGTACAATTTGCTCTATTTTTATCACGCTTGAATGACGCAATTTCTCTCGCTCTTTGCTTTATTTATTTATAAAATATCTAAATCGAATCCGCACAACAAACTGGGCACGCCGAATTTTACTGCATCTCAAGCAAAGGCGCAGTCCCTGCTCTGTTATCGCACTTGTTGTTATCAGGGCGAATTTGGTTTTGCGCAGCAGCACAGAGTGGCGTGACCGCGGCGGCAGCTTCCTGCACAGGCCTAGGCCAATGCAAAGTGCGCGTCTATCAGCAATTCAAATTGAGCGTCTTTCGCTCTCGCTTTCAAAAGTGTGACGCAGATCGCGCGAGTGACCCTGAGCATAAAATGAGCTGACCCGCGTGCGCCAATCAGAAGGGGCGCCTCGCAGGCGTGGCTTTTCACCCAAACTCCTGCTTTATCAAGGAGAGCGACTATCCTTGCGGTGACAGGAGCACCCACGCCGATCTGGGCCAATTTTTCGGCTTAATTGCGCGTGAATTGATCCGAAATGCGACGGTGCGCGGACGTCATTCCGCGTGCTTTGGCAAGACAGAAGTGGTTCGGGCGAATCTAATATGCTAATTTGCATGGCAGAACTCAAGTGGGATAGATTGAACAGTTTTAAAATTTTTTTCATCAGAAATTGATTATTAAAATTATTATTTTTTTTTTATAAAACTCAAATTTTTTTATAAAAAAGTACAATTGTGTCAATTTCATAAAAATGCGCAAAAAAACTTTCAGATCATAAAAGTACATTATAAGTATTACTTTGAATATTAATTTAATTTATTAATTAAAATATTTGTTCGATTTCATTATCAAATTTATTTATAAGTTTATAAAACCATTATTTAAGCTGGAAAAGAGTTACAAAGTTTAATAGAATTTCTATGATGTGAAACATATAAAGTATCCACAATAATTGATATTTTAATTATTTTTGTTCATACAGCTCAATAATTATTAAAAAAACTCACTTTTCAGTTATTTCTGTATTTTTTCTATTTCTTAATAATTGTTTTAATATTCCCACATTTCCAAGTAGCTGCACAATCTGATTATGAATCTGAGCGCGTTCCACTGGTACAGTTACCTCTCGTATCAAGAGTGGCAATTCAGAGTAGCCGTTTTTTCCCTGCACTGGCGGCGCCTGCTTCCTTTCCTCTCAGTAGGTTACTATCAGCAACAGACGCCGACTTTTAACGCATTATATATTACAAATTTGCATCAGCCGCCGTAATCCGAACCGTTCAAGATAAGCCCGACGATTTTGAACTCGTTTGACCCAGGAGAGGAACTTCCTCGTCCGCGACGCAAATGCCAGCGATTAAATAATAGACCCATTTCATATTAAATCGAGGCACGAGAGCGAACTGCGCCTCTGTGTTGTGGCACCACTCATTGATGAGAACAATCGGCGGCGTTTTGAGTTTTGGTCCGGCCAGAACTGCGCATCAGTCCTTTTGTCGAGGGGAGGAAGAGGAGTGTGTGGCATTTTTTACTTCGGCGGTGCGGCGTAGTAGAAGCTTTCGTTGGGATATTAAAGAAAGATCAATAAACTGGATTTTGCAGGCGAACAGGAAAAAAAATTTAATTCCGTTTTCAGTGAAATTTAAAATACACAGATTGATTTTGTGATTTATAAAATATTGAAGTTCACTCTAATTGTTTCAAATTTCTAATTTTTTCCAGTTTAATACTTTCAAAAATTATTGTTATTAGTTATTATTATCTTCAGTTTTTATTTAGTAAAAAGTTGTTTAACTTCAAGTGATTCAATGACGTAATTCATTTGAATGAAAGAGATGAACTATGAAATTAAAAAGGTAAAAAACTTGTTTTACTTTTTTGGATAGCGAAATAAACAAAAAGGTGCTTTATTAAAATTTCTACCGTCTCCTGTATCAAACTGTTTTAAAAGTGTTCCTGTTACACATTACAATGATAAAAGGCTTTGCTGGTGGTGCCAAAAATTGGATCATCTTTCTTATTCGAAACGGGATGTGACGCAGATATTAATTGCCCCTCGTATCCTGCCGCAGCAAAACACCTTTTTCGATTATTTATAGACGATTAACAAAGAGCAGCAACTCAATAATGCGCAACCTTGATTAATCAAAGGTTCATACATACATGGCAAACGAAGATGCCGGAGATTGCTGCCGACAATGGAAAAAACGTGTTCGTGGGCGCTCGCGAGAAGAAAAATCACACCATTGTTTTCATTCTTGGGAAAATTGTTCCGCTGAACAAAAACGGCGCGCGACAATGTGGACCAACATGTTATGTAACAGTAACGCTGTAATTCCAGACTAGGACGAAGCAGCTCTTAAAAAAGATCATAAAAATTTTGGCACGAAATCGAGGGTGCAGAAATTTCATTTCGTCTTTTCGAACTTGAGAAAGAGGATAAATTATGGCCAACCGGTTTAGCGCTGTGGGAAGGAAAGAAGATTCTCCAGCCAGCAATGGCGAAAATTGTGCCGCTGGGAAATCCCATGAGTGTGATTTCAAGTTTATTTATTCGGTTCAAGAGCAACATTTGTATCAGTTTGGAGAAGTGTGAACTTGCTAAATTTATTGGAGGAAAAAACAGGTCCAACATTTAAGGGAAATATCCGCAGGTAATGCCCTCTTGTTTTTATTTATT